GCAGTACCAGTTGATTTATTGTTGGACATATTTTTGCTCCGGGGAGGGCACTTGACTTTCCCCGAAGTTGAAGTTGGGATGATCGACGTTCTACTGTACACACTTAAACATCCGTTTAGCCTCCGAACAATGTGTCCACTCACCGTTCTCCGGCCATACTTGTCGCAGATTGACCCCCAGACACTCGAGCTGCACATCATGCCGCAGAACACCACCTGTGAACAGAGATCAAGGCGTTGATGAATGGGTTCTTGCCTAGACACTGTGCCCGGCTGGTCATAAGTATTCCAATACACTACTTTAAACAACCCTTTAAAATAAACGTTTATCGTATGATTCCTTTATACAATGTAGTATCGAGCATTTTGGGGGAGAAGGGACCTGATAATTTGACAAAACATGCATACAAGTAACTCACCTTAAAACAATCCCAATATGGGACCCCCCCCCCCTCTTTTTCCACAGATTCGCAACCGCACACCTTTTTTTTCCACGCCCCTGAACTACATTAATTTCCTACTGACCCACCCTTATTGCACCGCCTATTTCAGTGAAACAAACGAAAAGATTACGCACCAAGATGGAAAGTAATCGGGAAGTTAACCAGCGCACCATCTTTATAATTTATAAATGTGGGTGGGTGGGGGTGAGATATTAATCTATATATATATATATATGTAAAAGTGTTAAATAATCCAGACTCACAGTTGTGACCAAGGCCTCCTGCCAGCCCTCCAGTCTCCACTCACAGTGAAGAGCAGGGGTCAAGATGGCCAGGGTCATCATCTCCATGGCATCTACCATCTGTTGGGGGGTTTGGAAATTGGGGGGGGGGGTAAAACAATCTTTTGAAATTGACAACTGGTGTATTCCAATTATATATTGTTTAAAAAAAATTAATGGGTAATAAGGTAATTGTGTTTCAACTTATTTGTCAATGTGTAGGTAGGTATTAGAAAACTCATATGTAAATGTGTATTTAGGTACTAGAAAACTGTGTACTAAATAAATACAAATTTACATAATATGTATTTAGTTATTATTGGGTAAAACAATCTTTTGAAATTGACAACTGGTGTATTCCAATTATATATTGTTTAAAAAAAATTAATGGGTAATAAGGTAATTGTGTTTCAACTTATTTGTCAATGTGTATGTAGGTATTAGAAAACTCATATGTAAATGTGTATTTAGGTACTAGAAAACTGTGTACTAACTAAATACACATTTACATAATGTGTATTTAGTTATTAGAAAACTCATATGTTAATGTCTGTGCATGAATTAGCAAACTCATTTGAGACGGAAAAGATCATACATTTAATAATGTATGTTGACACTTATAAAAGATCCAAACAAGTCATTTAAAGCTCATATTTAACTGCACCTCTCTATGAGCTACTAACTCGACTCTGGTGCCAAAGTATTTTAAGCTCGATTAAGAAATGAAAGTATTTTGAGTATGATTAAGAAATGTATCAAGAGAGAATCGATTACTTTGACTACATACCCAAGCAACGCCAGTAAGTATCGATAGTTTTATTTGAAACTTGCCGAATCCGATCCTGTCAATGCATTCTTGAACTGTGTACGTCTCTGTTGTGTAAATGTACCCGTGTTTAAAGTGTGTACATGCATTTAAAAGAAACACAACTGTTAAATAAGACAACCTGAAATGGGTACAAGTACAACCTGAATTGTAGTTGATAAAATCAAATTCTGCTATCCCGAGATGTGGGGAGAAGAATGGAAATGCTGGACACCTGTCGTGAATCTTGTTGTAGCAATACAACATTTTGGTTGGAGGGTGAGAGGGAGGGGGGTTGGGCAATGGTAGCCCCCAGTTTGTTGATCTTTAATATTGATTTGCCTGTCTGCATGTTTTAGTTTGCCTATCTTCTGTTATTATGTCAAACCTAAATGACTCCATTCAGCGCTATGCATAACTATGTCAAACCTGAATGACTTCATATAGCGCTATGCGTAACTATGTCAAACCTGAATGACTTCATATAGCGCTATGTATAACTATGTCAAACCTGAATGACTCCATATAGCGCTATGTATAACTATGTCAAACCTGAATGACCCCATATAGCGCTATGTATAACTATGTCAAACCTGAATGACCTCATATAGCGATATGTGTAACTATGTCAAACCTTAATGACTTCATATAGCGCTATGTATAACTATCATATTTTTAAAAGTTCAACCACAACCAATATTTGGCTTATTCACATTTACTCTGTGACGGCTATCTTATTCAATCTTAAAATAGTTGTTTTTCTTCTAGTCTTTGGATTGCGTGGTCTGATAGCTACATATTATTAATAAACGTGTACACACTGATCAATGGGCTCATTAATACGATGTATATAATTACTATACTGTGAGAATTTTTTCCGACGGATGGTATTTCTCATTGACGTCAAAAGCCTTCCATAAGATTAAGTTAAGATATTCTGCAACTCCGGGTACTACCCCTTAACTCCTCAATCCAATACAGCCCCCCTCCCCCCCACACACACAAAACTGACCAAAAATTATAGCTACTACCTTCAATAAGTTTGAGTTGGCGACGCTGCACGGCGCTGCTGTCAACCCCAGGGACATCCCTCTGGATGAACTCCCAGGCCTTGACGTCGTCAGAGACGTCATCGCCGTTACCGTCGCTGTGAAAGTGGACCAGCTGAGTGAACAGGTCGCCCTTGCCTGCCGCCATCTTTAATTGAAAATAAAAAGAAAAAAAATGTTTTTCCCACAACGAAGCAGGGTGTTAACAAGGCCGTTTACTCTTGAGTAATGTCTACTCGGAAATGTTGGTTATCCTCCGGGTATAGTCAACCTATCCCAAACCTTGTTTTGCTAAATATCTGGTATGTTCAGCCTGTCCCAAACATTGTTTTGCTAAATATCTGGTATGTTCAGCCTGTCCAAAACTGTGTCTTGCTAAAAATCTCTGGTGTGGTCAGCCTGTCTCTAACCTTGTCTTGCTACAATCTCTGGTGTGTTCAGCCTGTCTCGAACCTTGTCTTGCTAAAAATCTCTGGTGTGTTCAGCCAGTATCGAACCTTGTCTTGCTAAAAATCCCTGGTGTGTTCAGCCTGTCTCGAACCTTGTCTTGCTAAAAATCCCTGGTATGTTCAGCCTGTCTCGAAGCTTGTCTTGCTATCTATCCCTGGTATGTTCCCTTAACATGAATTCTCAATACCCGGATGACAAGACAAGGTTTGTGTGACAAGGTTTGTGACAGGCTAATAACTCCGGCATAACTCCGGCATAACTCCGGCATACTGGTAACACCAACTCACCACGT